CAAAAAATTGAAAAAATATTGCAAATTTTAATTTGAGGTTTTTACAAAATAAGCATGCAAAAATAATAAATTTAACAAAATTTAAAAAACTAAAGCTCTGTTACAAAATATTGTCTCTTTTTTCAACATGTGCATACATTTTTTATTTGAAAATCCTGCATATTGCAAATTAAACCTTTTTTCAGTTCTTTATATTTGATTTACGGTTTATTTAACTGTTAAATTTACGATTGAGGAGGATAAAAAGTTTTAAAAAGATATAATAAAAAAGGATATATAAAAAGAATTAGAGTAATAATTTTTAATCTCAAAATTAAATGCAATTATTTTATTTGAGCTTAACCCGTTAACAGTCTATGCCTTATTATTACTCAAACTTAAAGTGTTTCCCAAAAGTCCATGCTGTAATATTATGGTTTTATGCATCTCATTATAATTCCTTCTTGTTCATCAGTAAGTACTCGTCTACTTGTCACAAAATTTATTACTACATAATTAGAGAGTTTTGTTTCAATAATTCACTTTAACATGTGTCCGCTTTAATTTTAAATATAACAAATAAGTAAATTCTTTCAGTGCAAAAATAATTATCAAAAAGTAAATATGTATATATATGTAAATTATACATTTGACGAATAAATAATGAAAAGATATATTTAATAAAAGATTATTAATAATGATAATAGAAGATTAATGCTCAAAGAAGGTGTGTGGTGTGTTACAAACACAAAATTTGGAAAGATTTAAGATATGAATGGGTAGAATGTGATGTAGGACTTTGTGCGGCTCCATGCTTTTCCAATTATCATACAAAAGTGAATATTAGTGAATACCTTTTTAAAATTTTGTGTTTATGTAGCATGATTTATATATTCTTAACTTGAATAATAACATTTTGTAGTGTTTAATAATGTTGAAAATAGTAAAAAACAAAATTTATTCTATTAGTAAAAAAACACGATGATTTTTAAAACACAGGACATTTTCAAAAAAAAAACTTTAAAAAAGGCCACTTCAAAAAAAAAGCTGGACTAATAGCAACCAAGTTTTAAAAACGGGACTGTTAAAGGGTTAAATAATAAAAGCTTAAAATGTTGTTGGTTTTTCATTTCATATTTTTATTTCAATTTTTTTATTAAATTATTTAAAGATTTTTATTATAATTACTCAAAATTAAAAAAAATTGGATTACAAAAAAAATTAGATATTACATTACATTTAAAAAAAAATTAGATATTACATATTATTAAATATTATAAAAATGGTGTTAAATAATCTTAGAAATGGATGTTGTTCTGTTTGTCAAAAGAAAAGTGATAGTATTAGTTTGAAAAATTAATTAATTATTACACAGATTGAATCTTATACAGGATCAAACAAGTATCTAAAACTTTTGAATAAAGCTGTTCTTTTGCTTGATACAAATAATAGAAATAGCAATCTTATTTAAAACAATCCACTCGCTGAAGATAATTCTATTGATGTATCAAATCCTAATATTATTCGTGAATTTATGATGGTTTTAATACTATGAGTACTAATAATAATTCTGTAGAGTGCGATTATATTAAGAACGACGATAAGAGTGATTATTACAATTGATCTATTGAAGAAAATACGATTGATATAAAATTCGATAGAATTGCAAATTTACATGGTTTCTGTTTTATTTGTAAATATGAATCTGGTTCGACTCCATTTAGCAAAATAATAAAATGAAGTGTTAATCAATGTTTTCATTAAAACAAACATATTTATACCTATTAATAGTCAGTGTTGTCAGTTTCATTTGACAGATAGTAATATGCTTGGATAAGAATGGCATGCAATCACACAGTGTAACTGACTATTCTTATAATATTTTTTCTTTATAATTTGACCACAGTGGTTTTGATGTTTAAACAATTTAAATTCTATTTCAAAAATTGTTACGTTAAAATAACTTTTAATTGCTAAACTTTTCTAAAGTTTTTATTTTAAGCAAAGGCTTTAATTAAAATAAAAAAGTATTTATGGTGATTGTTTAAAATAAACTTATTTTGTGTTAATTAACAAAAAATATTATATTTCGATTTTTTTTAAATAGACCTTTTTTTATGATAAATTTAAATATAATAATTTGTTTGAAACCATTATTCCATGTCTTTCCAAAAATCTTTTGAAAGATAATTTTTTTAAATTTTGTTAAATGAATGAAAAAGCTAAATTAAATATTCGATTGCGATTTTATTGCTTTATTTTTTTTGTTTCTGTTTTTACAAAAAATTGTTTAAACCCTTTTTTTTTTACTTTAACTAATTAGACCACGGAATGATTAAAAATTAATATTTTAAATAGACTATGGTATTTTTTTAAACAATATTTTTTTTGGTTCCAACTTGTTGGAAAAAATGTTTATACAATTTAAAAGTAATATATCGTCAGGGAAATTCGCGTAAGTAGCATTGGCTGCAATATTTGGATATTATAATTTGAAAATCAAATATCTATTGTTGACATTACAAAAAACATGAATAATACTTTTTATACTAAAATGAGCACAATTGGTTTCTTTTAAAACCCGCAATTTTTCTTTTAAAATCAACAAAAATTTGGTGATTACTTTGTAACTTTCTTTCGTGAATCATAAGCATCGCAGTTATTACAGGATTTTCTGTCAAACAAACTCCTTGCATTAGGAGAACAGATATATAAAACTCTTCAAAATTGAATGTCGTATTATATGTCAACAATTGCGTATAAGTTTTTCCATGAGTTAATAAAAGTTCATTCATATGAGAAAGTACATCTTTCCGCCTTGCAACAATAATTAGGTCGGGAAACGTCTGTATTAGCCAAACAAAATCCGGAAGATCAAACATGATATTGTGTAAATTAGCGATATTGTCATTGGATAATTTCTGACTTGTGGCAACCCATTCTCTAACATTTTGCACTTGCTTAATATTTCTATGAATCATTTTATTTATTACGCACAAAATTTGGCTTAGCGTAAACGGTAGGCTCCATTTGGTCTCTGTTGCACTTTAACAAATTTCCATTTTTTAATTGGTTTCAGTACTTCCTTAAAAATGCAGTTAAAATAATTTTGTAAGTATTATATAAACCCACACACCTGTGTATTGGTTTCAGTTATTATCTCATCACTTCTTGGATAATGCAGTAAAAACCGTTCAATTTAATAATACATACAAGAATTTTCTCAAGAATTTTTATTGCTAACTACTTTCTTTTACATAATATGTAAAATGAAGTATTAAAAAAAGTTCTAAAAACCAAAAATTTACAGATTTTAAAATATTTTTTAAATAATATTTAAAAATCTGTAAAAACAGAATGATATTTAAAAATCTGTAAAAACAGAACTATAAAACGAGATATATCATACAACTGACCTTATCTAAAAAAACAAAACCTAATGTAGAATTAAAAATAATTGATTCTGAATTAAGTATTTCACTATTGAATAAGAAGTCTGCAAAAAAAAATTGAACTCTAGATTGTTTTCAAAGCCTTTATAAAAATTGAGTGATTGCATTTTGTTAAATAAAGATTATTTAAAAATGTATACAGACTTTTTTTACTGTGTCAATTATACCGAAGTATTATTATTCAAAATACTTGCACAATTGATTATTTTTGTTGGCTTTTTGGTACTTATTTTTAATGTCAAAAAATATCATAATTGTATTATAAAGAGAACAACTTGATATACTTTCTTTTATTGAAAGTTGTAAATGGGTTAGAGTAAAAACTATATGGATTCTTGTTTTTATGAGATTAAAACTAAATGATTCATTAACTTTCAGTACTTTTGATACAGAATGAAATCCATTTAGCAATTTTTTTTATTAGATTGTCAAACAACTCAATTTAATTATTTAATTTGCAACAATACTATTTGTCCAAACATCAATGAGTATATCTTGATTGAAAACACAGAGAAAGTAACATTTAAATATAAAGTTGAATGACTTATGTAAAATCTGTCTTAATGATTCTACTGCAAAGTTTTTATATAATCCATTTTGTTTATTTGAAGAGGTATTTCAAGAAGATGAAGTTAAGCTAAATATAAATGATATCACATTATCATTTATAATAAACATTGTTTCAATTATTTATATTGTATTATTTTTTATTTAATGATACAAACCACTAGATCAATATTTTTTTTAAATAGTGAATTTTATTTGGTAGATGATAAAAGCAATTCTATCACAAAAAAACTACCAAAAATATATATTGTAAAATTACTTTTTATTATTTGGCTTAAATATATAAAATTACAACAATTTTTCTTGTTTTTAAAGTCATTTCAATAAACTAACATAAAATATATATAAAAAATAAATTTCTATTATAAAGATCTGTTTTTATATTTTTCTCTTGTTTCATTGCAATAAGTATAATCAATAAGTTTTGCAATAAGTATAATATTTTTTTAATTTGTTCATTAAAATAATTAGTAAAAATATTAAAGTACTAAAATAGAACTCAAAAAACTTTAGGTTCTATTTTATAGAACCTAAAAACCTAAAAGAGTCTAGATTTATACAAGTAAAAATATATATAATACTGATTTATACAATTAAAAAAATATATAATACTCTATGATAATTTAAATTAAGAATAAACTAGAATTAATTTGTTACTTTGTATCACTTCCACTTTAAACAAAACATTTTAAAAGACAACTTTTATTTATTTTTATTTATTTCAAATGCAATTAAAATCGTTTAAATTTAAATCATAAAATATTTTTCACTTCCAGTTTTTTGAGTTCTATTTTAGTATTTTTACTAATTATTTTAATGAACAAATTAAAAAAATATTCTACTTATTGCAATTATTATACTTATTGTATACTTATTATACTTATTGCAATAAAAGAGAAAAATATAAAAACAGATTTTTATAATAGAAATTTATTTTTTGTGTCTAAAACAAGGTAAATTAAAATGCACAAAAACGATTAAAAAATTTTAAATAATTTTTACCTGCTGATTATGCAAACATCTGTAACATAAAAATAAATAAAGGTTGGATTTTGGTGTTATAAATGAATGAACAACTATTTGATTTTTATCAAGTATTTGAAGCCATTTTAAAGAAGTCATCTAAATTTAAACGTACATATATATATATATATATATATATATATATATATATATATATATATATATATATATATATATATATATATATATATATATATATTATATGAGCACTCTCATACGCACAAGAGTATTCATATTATTAACATACCACATGTATATATATATATATATATATATATATATATATATATATATATATATACATATATATATATATATATATATATATATATATATATATATATATATATATATATATATATATATATATATATTTCAAATAAATTGAAATATATCTTAACAATTATTTAGTTTTCACTATATTATTTGCTCTACCAATAATATAACACGCTGTATTGAACACTTTCACTGGAAATATTAAAACAATTCCTACAATATATATATATATATATATATATATATATATATATATATATATATATATATATATATATATATATATATATATATATATATATACATTGTAATCTGATGTAACAATACTCCCTTGCATCTTCTACCTATTTTTCAGTCGATGTATGTACTGAAATTCCCAGCAGCAAGCTATTTTATTATGATCTCAGCCTGCTAACCTAAACACTTACAGTTACATATATACATAAAATAGTAACACTTTTTTTTTTCTTTTTCTAAAAATATCGTCTTTCTTACTGCAGAAATAAAAGGGTCCTTTCAGGCGGTAAAAGGGGCAATTTTTAGTAAACTTTTTAGGGGCAATTTTTAGGGAATACAATATTTTAATAATTTTTTGTAAGTCTTAACCCTTAAACTTTTGATTTTTTTAAATATTCACATTTGTAAAAACTTTTTTTAAAAAAAGAAATCTTTTAATAAAGTTTTGTAAAGATTTTTTCATAACTGCAGTCAATATTTTTAATTTATTCTCAAAAATAAAATTTAAATTTATAAAAAATGTTTCAAAAATTCTAACAACTTAAAAATCTAAAACCTTAAAATATTTAACAAATAAAAATACTTTTATATTATTTTACATTTTTTAAAGTAAACTTTTAAATTTTGTCAGTGAATAATGTTTGTTTGAAATCTTTTACATTGATTTTTTTTTATTATTATATATTTAAAAAATTATTAAAATGCCATTTTAAAAAATTAATAAAATACATCTCTTTAAAAAGATATTAAAAAAACTTCCTGAGGAGAAAATTTAATATTAATTTTTTCTACAAAAATCAAAGCAAAAGTAAAGTTCTTAGTAGTTAGTCCTAAAAAAAATTTCTTTTATACTTAATTGTCCACTTATCAGTCTGATTGGATACTTGGTGGATTTAAAGTGGATACTTGGATACTTGGCTACTTGGTGGAATTAAAGTGCTTACAATACAAAAGGTAATTATTTCAATAAGTTTTGAATCATTTTTGAATCCATAAACTTTTACACTAATAAATAATAATAATTTACAGGATTAAAATTGAGGAATTGTTGAAGGAGTGGATGAAATTAAAAGATCAATGATACAGACGAATTCTGCTGTAAAAAAAAGTAAAAAAAAAAAAGACATTTATTTGAAGTGCAAATGAATAAAGTATTTCGTATGGAGAACATCCTGTTATGTTTGAGGAAATATTAAAAGATAAAAAAAAAAAAGTGAAAGACAAGGAAGAAGATATTACTTTCTCAAAAGACCAGCCTGGTAAAATAAAAAGAAAGTCTTCGATTCTTATAGAAAAAATAAAAAAAAAGCACCTCAAAGTTAAATAAAAACCTATCAGCAGAATTAATTAAGAATGACTTAGATTATCTAAGTTCTGCTAGTTACACTAGCAATGAATTGGGTGAGGAAACATATATTGACTTTGATTTTTTAAAGTAACAATTATAGAAAATTTAAAATATACCAAAAACTATTTAAGAAGTGTACAATGTGTTAGTTGAACTTTAATGGTTCTATCATCAATTAGGTTCAAATTTCACTTACTAATTATTCATTAAAGAATAATGGGAAAAGGTTTATACTATTTAAAATCTTTTAATAAAATCCCAAACCTGACAAACATAAGGAAGAAATAACTGGAATTGCTTTATTCATTTGTCTTTTCTATACAGAGTGATTTCTAAAATCAAAGTTAGGTAATTTGGCACCAACACTACCTGACCTGTGTTGGTCAGTACAGTCTTTTAACATTTTATTAATAAGTTAGAAAGCTGCTTATTTATTAAAGTGATTCAATATGATCCTCCTAGTTTGACTCAATTAATAACAGACAAGTTGTGGCTAGATTTTGACATTTAATACCCAGGATTTACTCAGTAATTTCTAATACTTTAGGAATGAAAAGGAAGAAACTCAATTGATGATGACTCCACCAGAGTTTTAAAAATTTAACAATTTTTATCTAGAATTTAGAGCAACAGTCAAGGGGCTTGATGTTGCCAATGATTGCTCTGAAAAGGCATTTAAATTCAAGACCTAATAAACAGAGTATATTCTGAGCATAATCTTTACAAATGATTATAACAAAAAAAAACTGTTTCTTGTCCTCTCTTTTACATATTTCCCAAATAGCCCCTGAAGCTGATTATAAGTGAGAAGTCAATGATTTACTTTTAGTAAAGTATTAATAATAATTAATATTTTACTAAAAGTAAATCAAACATATAACAGACTTTTATGATTTTCGAAAATATATTAAGAATATTTTGTACTTTTATGAGTTTTGCTAAACATTTATGAACTTTCAAAAAGGGTTTTTTGAAACAAAGTTTAAAGTTTTTTTTTTGAGAATATAGCCCATTTTATTTAGATTTAAATAAATTTATTTATAAATACAAATCTAAAATAAAAATCAAAAATTTTAATGTTAAGACTTCATAAAAAAAGTTTTAAAATAATGGTACAAAACGCCCAAAAAATTGCCGCTTTCATTCCTTGAAGAGACCCTCGGGATTTTCAATAAAAATAGTAGTCAAAATGTTTCTTGCATAAACTATTATTTTAAATGTTAAAGAAAAAGCATTGAAAGATTTTTTACCATATAAATTGACTTTTTTTTTTACCATTAAAGTCTCTTTCAACTACTTTATACTAACTTTCAACTACTTTAAACTATGCAATATCTTATTGTCCTCACATTAGGGAGGGGGGGGTGTTGGGGCACAGGTTTTGGGTATTTCTAATTTATCTAGTCTCCAATCTCTGCAATTTTTTGAAAAGCTTTTTTGTTTAATATAAGCACCATATATATATTATATATATATATATATATATATATATATATATATTATATATATATATATATATATATATATATATATATATATATATATATATATATATATATATATATATATATATATATATATATATATTACCAGGAACTTTATTCAAATAATTGTTGTGATTGGGGTCTAGATACATTAGAAATACCCAAAACCTGTGCCCCAACCCACCCCTAATGGGAGGACAAAAAGATATTGCATTTTATTATAACTTTTTCAAACAGAAATTACATTTATTGTCAGATTTAAAGTTTACTTACTAATAATATTACAATAATTATAATATTATTAAATGAAACATTATATATAACACATTATTATATATAATACATATTGAATACTATTATATGTTTGTATATATATTTATATATATATATATATATATATATATATATATATATATATATATATATATATATATATATATATGTATATATATATATATATATATATATATATATATATATATATGGGATTCTTTGCAAGGTCTTAGGGATTCTTCGCAAGGTCTTCGCAAATGGCGGTCGCATTTTTTTAACCGTTAAAAAAGCTAAAGTAAAGATAAAGAAAAAAGTTAAACTCAAATCAAAAAATAAATTTTGTTTTTAAAAAAGTCACCAATAAATCATAATTAAGCTCTTATGAATTAATTTAAAACAAACAGTTAAATTAAGAGAAAAAATTTACAAAAAGATAAACAGAATTTCGAACTAAAAAAAAAAAAAGAACTTTTACGTAAAACAATAAAATAACATAAAAAAAAAAAGAAAAAAGTTAACAAATAAAAAGAAACAAAAAAAGGAAAAATAAAGAAATTTACAAACAAAGAATAAGAAAATTGGTTGTTTTATACTTATTTTTTAACGATTTAATTTGTAATATTTAAATTTGTAACAGATTTAATTTGGTTTTATTTTGTAAAAGTAAATGTGTTTGCCTTTTCCTTTTTAATTTTTTTTAGGTTTCATCTTGTAGTTTTTGTATTTTGCCTTTTTGTTTGTGCAAGGTTTGTTTTTTATTTGTTCTGTTTTGCTAATTATTTTTATTTTTGTATGCTGTTGTTATTGAGTGTTTTCATATTTTTTGTCTTATTATTTAACTTATTTTAGCTTTATCGTTGTTATTATTTTATTTATTTTCTTAGCGATTTTCGGTTCATATTTGTTATTTTTATTATTATTTTATTATTATAGTACTTGTTATAATTAATTGGTGTCACTCATTTTGATCATGAGTGACACTCATGTCATCATATTATTTGTATTATTATAGATAATATTATTATTTTTAATCATTATTGTTACAATTATTTGGTGTCACTCCTTTGATCAGGCTTCTGTTTAAGTGACACCTTCCTTTTCTAATAAGTGTTTATATTTATTCTTATTAGTTATATTTTATTATAATTATATTGTTTGTATTATTATAGATATTATTATTATTGCTATTATTATTATTATATAATTATATGTAAACTTTGAAAAGGAAAATAAATATCTTGCTGTTGTTGTTATATATATATATATATATATATATATATATATATATATATATATATTATATATATATATATATATATATATATATATATATATATATATATATATATATATATATATATATATATATATAATATATATATATATTTATATATATATATATATATATATATATATATATATATATATATATAATATATATATATATATATATATATATATATTTATTATATATATATGATATATATA